AGCGATTCTCCTGCCTCAGCCTCCCAAGTAGCTGGGACTACAAGCACACACCACCACGCCCGGCTAATTTTTGTATTTTTAGCAGAGATGGGGTTTTACCATGTTGACCAGGCTGGTTTTGAACTCCTGACTTTGGATGATCTGCCCTCCTCAGCCTCCCAAAGTGCTGGGATTACAGGCATGAACCACCGCGCCCACGCCCGGCCTGTAGGTGTTAATCTTTATAAATCTGAGCACCTTGCACCTTCCACTCTTCTGAATGCCTACGCTTAGCTCATTAATCATGGAGGAAGGGGCTTAGGGGCTTCACACCCTGCCTCAGGACAGAACTCTCACCTCCTCTTGAAGTGTGTTTAACTCCTTGAGGATAATGCTCTTCCCTTAGCAGAAATCCAGGGTGACAGAATAACTGAGGGACAGTCCAAAATGCATTTTATATCTGCTGTTCTATAAAGTGCCCTTTGGGTTCTTGCCCCGGGTAGCCTTGGGAAAGGGAGTGACCATAGGAGCCTCAGCAGGCTCCCACGGGAAGGGCACAGACAGCCCCTGCCAAACTCTGGCTACTGCATACATTCAAGGCAGTGTTTCAGCTGAACATTCAGTGTCCCCATTGGGATCCACTTCGAGAGTCTGGGAACTTGGAGGTCTAGTTCAGCCCCTGTCAAACAGGGGCAATTTAGATGCTATTGCATTATGTCTTCCCAGCCAGTACCACTCTTAGCTCCAGGCAACAGAGGCCCCTGCCCACCTGTGCTTTAGAGGATCCTGCTCTGGCCCTCACCTGCTGCTACCCCTACGCATGAAGCAAGGCCAAGGGACTTACCAGAGCCTGTACTTCCCCTCAGACCAAACCCTGGGTACGGGGAACTCCAAGGCTCTTCATTCAAGCAGGCCAAGGTCTGGGTGTAGGGCTGTGCTGAGGGAGGACTGCAACACTGATGTGCCCATCCTAGGCCTGAGGGCTGTCCAGTGGCAGCTGCTGGGGGTGAAGGAGTGCACAGAGCATGGGCGTGCGGGCTGACTCATCCACATTCATGCCCATGAGGCACCCCCCATTGCCCCTGACCTTGATGGCACAGATACCAGTCCATCAACTGGACAATGAGCACTTTGATAGAAGAAAATGTGGTAACATGGATAGCCTGCTCTTTTATATAACCCCTACGAAACCCTCTGAAATTACAATGTCCAGTTTCCAGATGAGAATACAAAGCCCAGACCGGGTGCAGTGGCTCATGTCTGTAATCCCAACACTTTAGGAGGCTGAGGCGGGCAGATCATTTGAGGTCAGAAGTTCGAGACCAGCCTGGCTAACATGGTGAAACCCTGTCTCTACTAAAAATACAAAAAAATTTGCCAGGCATGGTGGCACACACCTGTGATCCTAGCTATTAGGGAGGCTGAGGCACGAGAATTGCTTGAACCTGGGAGGCAGAGGTTGCAGTGAGCCGAGGTCATGCCACTACACTCCAGGCTGGGCAACAGAGTGAGACTCCGTCTCAAAAAAAAAAAAAAAAGAATATAAAATGCGCTCCTTTTTTTTCCCCCTTTTGCACAAGCCCCCCACCCCTTCAGATAAAAGCTCTTGCTCTTACTGTACAGTGCCAGCATCCCTACTCGAACCTCTGCTTTCTGGCTGAAGAAGTAATTCCTTAGGCTCATAGGAATTAATAAATCCTTCCTCTCTTCAGAGTTGAGATTCTGGATATAACCCTAAATAGGCATGTTTTTTTGTTTCTTTTTTTGAGACGGAGTCTGGCTCCTCTCGCCCAGGCTGGAGTGCAGTGGCAGATCTCAGCTCACTGCATACCCGCCTCCCCAGGTTCACGCCTTTCTCCTGCCTCAGCCTCCCGAGTAGCTGTGACTATAGGCGCCCTGCCACGCCACCTGGCTAGTTTTTTTTTTTTTTTTTTTTTTTTTAGTAGAGACGGGGTTTCAACGTGTTAGCCAGGATGGTCTCGATCTCCTGACCTCGTGATCCGCCCATCTCGGCTCCCAAAGTGCTGGGATTACAGGCTGTGAGCCACCGTGCCCGGCCATGTTTTTTTTTCTAATGGCTGCATCAGGCCCTTTCCACCAGAAACGGATCCTGTTTGGGGACACACCTGTGGCTGTGAGTGAGCCTGAGCATGAGAAAGGGAGCAACTATGTTTAAACCACAGAAGGAAGAGCTTTGTAAAGATACAGCAAGAGCATTCTGACAATAACAACATTGCTAAACCTTCAAAGGGCTTTTAAAGAAATTTTGTTGTTCCTTCCTCAAAAAATCTAAAACGAAACCTCCCATTTATGGACAAACACTGAGTCTGGGGATTCTGTAATCTAATCCTACAATAAATCTGTGTGTATAATTCCCAGTTTACAGATAAGAAAGGCAAAGCTCTCTTCTATTAACTGAGTTCTCCCTGGGGTTCTCCCCACTGTACTGCATTCTTCTCTGGAAAACCAAAAGAATAGCAAACAATCTGATATGGGCCGGGCGCGGCGGCTCAAACCTGTAATCCCAGCACTTTGGGAGGCCGAGGCGGGCGGATCACGAGGTCAGGAGTTTGAGACCAGCCTGACCAACATGGTGAAACCCCCGTCTCTACTAAAAATACAAAGATTAGCCAGGCAGGGTGGCGCGCGCCTATAATCTTAGCTACTCAGGAAGCTGAGGCAGGAGAATCACTTGAACTCGGGAGGCAGAGGTTGCAGTGAACCGAGATCGCACCATTGCACTCCAGTCTGGGTGACAGAGTGAGATTCCACCTCAAAAAAAAAAAAAAAAATCTGATATGATCCATACTGGTTTCCACAGAAGTCAACTCCCTCGCTATCTTAAAAGTGTGTGTGTGTGTGTATATATATGTATATATATGTGTGTGTATATATGTGTATATATGTACATATACGTGTGTGTGTTTATACATATATATACACACACATATATATATTTGATATAGAGATGGGATCTTGCCATGTTGCCTAGGCTGGTCTCAAACTCCTGGGTTCTAGCAATCCTCCCACCCTGTCCTCCCAAAATGCCGGAATTACAGGCGTAAGCCACCACACCCAGTATCTCACTATCTTAAGGGAGTTTTTCCTATTATAGTTCTGCTTATTAGCAAAGAAAGGGGAAACAATCACAAATACACAATTGCTTGCCACACACCCAGCACCTTCCTTTGTTTTTATTTTCTCCTCTTCTCGTTCTTGGGCCTGGCATAACTTTTCCACAACCAGGAGAAAGCTAATAACTAAAGTATATGAGGGCCAGCTGCAGTGGTTCACGCCTGTAATCCCAGCACTTTGGGAGACTGAGGTGGGCAAACTGCTCGAGCCCAGGAGTTCAAGACCAGCCTGGGCAACGTAGTGAGACCCCATCCCTACAAAAAAATTAAAAATTAGCAGAGCATGGTGGCACGTGCCTGTGGTCACAGCTACTTGGGAGGCTGAGGAAGGAGGATCGTTTGAGCCCAGGAGGTCAAGGCTGCAGTGAGCAGTGACCGCACCACTACATTCCAGCCTGGTGACAGAGCAAGACCCTGTTTCTAAATAAATAAAGTAAATGAGGGACCTCAGCTACAGTGCCTCATCTGCTAAGCCCTTTAAGTCTGTCATTCTGACTCAGCAGTTGCTACCTTTCCCTGACTCCTATCGTGAGCAGGCCTTTCCTTTCTGTAGCAGCTGACACAGGAGTTTAACGAAAACTTATGATATTGTTTGCACTGGGAGGCCACATGTTATGGTCTGACAAAGGCTGCATGGACTATATCTCAGCACTCTGTGAGCCCTTTCTGCTCAATGATAAACTCAACCAGCGGACATGCCCTGGCATTCTGCACTGAGGCAAAGGTCAGGTCTACAGGTCATGACATGTGATGCTACCTGTAGGCAGAGCAAGCTAGCCAGAAGTGTGGTTGCTGGAAGGGGCAGGTCCAAGCTTGCTAATCCAGTGTTCCAAGGGAAAGAAAACTGGTGCCTACTGCCGGGTTGCGAGCAGAAGATCTTCACGTGGAGGAATGAATTGAGACTGCCAACTTGAACTTCACTGGAGAAACAGAATTTACGTTCAAGCGTCCTTAGGCCAGGCACAGTGGCTCTCCTCTGTAGTCGTAGCACTTTTTGAGGCCGAGGTGGGAGAATCATTTGAGGCCGGGAGCTCAAGACCAGCCTGGACAACAAAGTGAGAACCTGTCTCTACAAAAAATAAAATAATTAGTTGGATGTGGTGGCCTGTGGTCCCAGCAACTTGGGAGGCTGAGGTAGGAGGGCCCCTTGAGCCTAGGAGTTGGAGGCTGCAGTAGCTATGATCATGCCATTGCACTCTAGTCTGGGTGACAGAGTGAGACTCTGTCTCATAAAAATAAATCCGTAAATAATTTAAAAGTATCGTTACCCGTTTCTGGCAAGGGGCAGCGCACTGACGGGCAATAAAATACTAAAAATGTATCCCTCTGCCTTAAAAGCTGTAAGTAAAAATAAAGGAGAGGGGGTAAGCATGATGTTTTGAGTTTTTCCGAATCTCAGATTTACGGGCAAAGCCTTGTGATTAGTGTTACATAAAGAGATTGCCCTTAAACCTATCTCACGCAGTGAGCAAGGTGGAAGGATTTTGTGAGTGCCAGTGTGCCTTTAAGACAGTACCAGCTTCTGACCTTGGGGGAGCTGAGGTCTCAGCTGGTCAACAGCAGCCCATAGGTCTCTTTTGGAGGCTGAGAAAAATAAAACCAATAATGAAAGTCATGTTTTCCGTTATTAACAACAAAAAACAAAACCACCAACAATTTGATTCCACATGTCTAGTTTCATACAAAATTTTCCACATGAGAGGCTTATTCTGGTAAAGGCAACACCAAATTTCATTTTACACACACACACACACACACACACACACACACACACACGGTTTTCTTTTTAAATCTACCTCATGGTAAGTGAACAATGTGTGGGGCTTGTGCATCATACAAATAAACAAACAAACAAGTTTGGCTCTTCTTTTCTTATTTCTCCATCAGCCACCTGGAATATTTTACAAACCAGAGCCTGAGTTAAAAGTACAGAACATCTTACCAGGATCCATCTGAGCTGGCGAACTTCAAGATGGCAGTCAGCCTGAAAGAGGCTGGAAAAATAATAAAGTACTGAACTCTATGGTGCCTGGAGGTTAAGTCCAGTTAGCTACTTGTCTCAGGTTTGAAATTCATACAGTTGAGCATTCTGGGCACTACGGCAATTTTGGTACATCAAAAAGAGCACGGAGGGCCAGGCATAGTGGCTCATGCCTGTAATCTCAGCACTTTGGGAGGCCAAGGTGGGGGGGATCGCTTGTGGCCAGGAGTTCAAGACCAGCCTGAACAACATAGTGAGAGCCTGTCTCTTAAAAAACAACAACAGAGAAAGTCAAGAACATTGGGGCAGAGTACAGTCATTCATGTCTATAATCCCAGCACTGCGGGAGGCCAAGGCAAGAGGATCACTTGAGCCTAGGAGTTCAAAACCAACCAGGGCAACATACTAAAACTTAAAAAATTTGCCAGGCCTGGTAGGGCACAGCTGTAGTCCTAGCTACTTAGAAGGCTGAGGTGGGAGGATCGAGGCTACAGTGAGCTATGATAGTGCCACTGCACTGCAGCCTGGGTAACAGAGTGAGATCTTATCTCTTACCAAAAAAAAAAAAAAAAACCACTGGACTAAGCAGCTTCCAGTTCCAGCTCTGCAACTGGCCACAGTGAATGAGGCTTTCAGAGAGTCATTTGCTCAATGGGAGCGAGGTTAATGTTGGGTGTTCCTAGTCAGGTTACTGTGAGTAGAGAATGAGATAAAGTAGGTCAAAGTGCTTTGAGGCATTTAAAACATGACACAAATGCAAGGGATTTGTATTTTGGGAGGGCTTGGGAATTCCCTTCCTTTCCCTATGGAAAGTAAGAAAAGTCTACGCCTGTTTTATCTGTAAGGAAGGGTTAGAATCCACCTATTTTGTACTGATGGTGAAACAAAAGAGAGTTTCGTAATAAGAAGGTTGGATTAACACAAGGTTTAACCATCAAGTAATGTGACGGATTTTTAAATAAACATATGTAAATGGTCGTTGTCCCATCCTGAGTAGTGAGTAGTCACCTTGGCAGGGGAAACACTTATTTAAATTATATTTCCCATCAAAAAAAATTTTTTAAACTCCTCTTTTGGAACTGTTCCTACAGCCTTTGGCACATTCTTCTGAATATGGCTGAGGGTGACACATTTTTTGTCCTTTGTGGATGATTCTGATTTTTGTAAACAGCCCAAAGTTATTTGGCACAAAGTAAGACCTTTTTTTTTTTTTAATTGAAAATAAACTGTAACTATAAGAAGCCTATCTTTCCAGAAGAGTTAGAAATAGATTTCAAGACTGGCAGTATTGTTGGAAAGAGCTTGTTTCTTTCTAGGGTGACAAGAGGAGAAAGCTATTTGGAAATGTATTTCCTTTTCAGTCACACCTTTAATTATTTATCTTGCAAGACTGACACTAAACTGAGTTTCCAGAAAGAAACAAACATTGCAACTAATCAACTGCTGCAACTATTTTATCACAGCTCCACAGGGCATCTGAATCCATTTGCATATGGATTAACGGGCTAGCAACAAAACAGATGCTTCCAATGAGTTCACATCTGGGTCCGTTGGAAATACAGCATCCAGCAGATTCAATTCTAACTAGCAGACTTTATACTCCCTTAAAAAGTTTGGATTTTCTTAAAGTTACAAAACAATATACCTGAAAATTAAAATATCATTATTATGATTACAATGTAACTTGAAGCAACTGCTAGATTTCCTTCTGTTGCAAAGAATTTCAGTTGTCAGTATTATTTTGAAATAAACACAATGGCACTTTCATTCTTTGAATGTTGCACACTGTGAGCACTTCAACCTTAAATGCCAATGACTTTTTACAGAAAATATTTTTCTGGCTGGGCACGGTGGCTCATGCCTGTGATCCCAGCACTTTGGGCGAATAACGAGGTCAGGAGTTCGAGACCAGTCCGGCCAACATGGTAAAACCCTGTCTCTACTAAAAGTACAAAAATTAGCCGGCCATGGTGGCGGCGCCTGTAATCCCAGCTACTCAGGAAGCTGAGGCAGGATAATTGCTTGAACCTGGAAGGCAGACTAAAAATACAAAAATTAGCAGGGCATGGTGGCAGCGCCTGTAATCCCAGCTACTCAGGAGGCTGAGGCAGGAGAATTGCTTGAACCCAAAAGGCAGAGGTTGCAGTGAGCCGAGATCATGCCACTGCACCCTAGCTCTAGGTGACAGAGCAAGACTCTGTCTTGGAAAAATAAAATAAAATAAAATAAAATAAAATAAATATTTATAGTATATATATTATAAATATATAATATATATTTATTTTTTCCCCAATTCATTTGTTTTATTGTGGCAAAATTCACATAACATAAAATTCATCATGTGACGATTTTACCGTGTAGAATTCAGTGGCATTTAGTACATTCACAATGTTCTGCAACCATCATCACTATCTATTTCCAAAAACAGTTTCGTCATCCCAAAACGAAACTCGGCACCATTAAGCAGTCTCCCCACATCTTCCCTCACCTCATCTGCTGTCTGTTTTATGGATTTGCCTATTCTGGACATTTCACGTAAGTGGAACCTTATAATATGTGGCCTTTTGTTTCACTTAGCCTACTATTTTCAAAGTTCATTCATATGGTAGCATGTGTCAGCACCTCATTCCTTTTTATGGCAGAATAATTGCAATGCAGATATGACCTTTTGTTTATCCATTCATTCATCGATGGACATGTGGACATCTTTTGGTTATTCCCTTTTTGTTGTTGTGGGGTTTTTTTAACTCTTATTTTAGGTTTAGGAGTACACATGCAAGTTTGTTATGTAGGTAAACTGCTCATCTCAAGTTTGGTGTACAGATTATTTAGTCACTCAGGTAATAAGTATAGTATGCGACAGGTTCTGTTTTGTTTTGTTTTTTGAGACAGTTTCACTCTTGTTGCCCAGGGTGGAGTGCAAAGGCGTGATCTGGACTCGCTGCAACCTCAGCCTACCAGGTTCAAGCAATTCTCCTGTCTCAGCCTCCTGACTAACTGGGATTACAGGCATGCGCCACCATGCTCGGTTAATTTTTGGTATTTTTAGTAGACACAGGGTTTCGCCATATTGGCCAGGCTGGTCTCGAACTCCTGACCTCAGGTGATCCGCCCGCCTTGGCCTCCCAAAGTGCTGGGATTACAGGTGTGAACCACCGGGCCCGGCCAGGTATTTTTTTTTAATCCTCTCCCTCCTCCTACCTTCCACCCTCAAGTAGGTCCCAGTGTCTGTTGTTCCCCTCTTTGTGTCTTGTTTTTTAGAGACAGGATCTCGCTCTGTCACACAGACTAGAGTTCAGTGGCATGATCACAGTTCACTGTAGCCTTGAGCTCCTGGATTCAAGCAATCTTCCTGCCTCAGCCTCCTGAGTAGCTGGGACTACAGGTGTGTGTCACCACATCTGGCTTTTTTTTTTTTTTTTTTTTTTTTTGAGACAGGGTCTGGCTCTGTTCCCTAGGCTGAAGTGCAGTGGTGCAATCTCGGCTCACTGCAGCCTCCGCCTTCTGGGCTCAAGTGATTTTCCCACCTCAGCCTTCTGAGTAGCTAGGACCACAGGCACACACCACTTTCAGCTAATTTTTATATATTTTTTTGTAGAGACAGGGTTCCACCATGTCGCCCAGGCTGCTCTTGAACTCCTGGCTTAAGTGTTTGGCTTATAGGCGTGAACCACTGCGGCCAGCTAATCTTTTGGCTACTATAAATGGTGCTGCCATGAATGTGGGTATACAAGTTATTGTTTGAACATTGTTTTCAATTCTTTTTAGTATTTTGGGGGGCATACCCAGGACAAAATTACTGGGTCACATGGCAATTCTATGTTCAACTCTTTGAGAAACCACCAAGTCTCTAACTCATTTCTATGTTTACAATTTACAAGGTGTCTTGATCACCAGTTAGGAGAAGCTGGACAGCTGCAGCCAAACCCCAGGTTGGACCCAAAGAGGTCTCTTTTTCTTTCATTCATTCATTCCTTTTTTTTTTTTTTTTTTTTTTTGAGACAGAGAGTCTCACTCTGTCACCCATGCTGGAGTACAGTGGCGTGATCTCAGCTTACTGCAACCTCCACCTCTTGGGTTCAAGCAATTCTCCTGCCTCAGCCTCCCGAGTAGCTGGGACTACAGGCACCCACCACCAAGCCCCACTAATTTTTGTATTTTTAGTAGAGATGAGGTTTCACCATGTTGGCCAGGCTGGTCTCAAACTCCTGGCCTCAAGTGACCTGTCCGCCTCAGCCTCCCAAAGTGCTGGGATTACAGGCATGAGCTACTGTGCCTGGCCCTCTTTTTCTTTCTTTCTTCCTTCCTCCTTCTTCTTCTTCCTTCATTTGATTTTCAGGTCAAAGAGGTCTCTTTTAAAAAACTACACTGAGTAGAAGAGCCAGACTCGATGTGAGCCAAGTTTGTTCCAAGGCAAGCTTACACGCAGGACTTTGAATAGCTTTCTCTGCTGCTCTGCATGTCACAACATGAACTGGCTGGGCAGGAATACCTTCCTGCCTCCTAGGCATTCTTGGTTTTCCATTATGTTACACACACTTCTGAAAAAAGATGTTAACTACCAACTTACAAGTTTCTCTCCTCTGTCTTTGTTGGAGTTCAGATTAGCACCTGGGGTCAATGCAAAAACAGTGCTTGGGGACAGGTTCTATGCCCCAATCCTAGGAGAGGCGAGTCCTTGCATGCTGAAAACAGGGCCTCCCAAACACTAGATGGGATGATGGAGAAATTCTCCATCCAGGGCAGGCTTTTACCATATATTTTGCCTGACAGCACTGCTCAGTGATTCTGACTCTATCAATCCACAGATATCGGAGGTGAGCCTACTGTACTTATATACCGTATGTTGTCCAACCTCCAGGCTTGCCAGAGCCACAGGAGAGAATCCTACTACAGGCATTGTTCACTGCAGCCAATCTACTGAGTTGAAGCTTCTCAGTCATTAACCCAACCCCAGACAGTAACTGACTAGTACCGATTTTAAAATTTAAACCTGTTCAGGAGTTTCTTGGCATGCTGACCTCTTACCTCAGCTCCCTCACACATAGGAAGTTTCTGAGCCACAGAAGCCCAAAGCTATGTTGCATTGCCAAAAACAAGGACAGACCAAAGTGGCTTTTTCCACTTGAAACTAAATACTAAGAATGAAGAGGTCGGTTTTAGGGGGTCCCGGTTAAGCAGTTTCTCTGCCAACCCACAGCAGTCCCTTGTGGCTTGTCTCCTGGCCTCCTTTCAGATGTCCTGGCCTGAATCTGCCATTAGGAAAGAAAAAAAGTCCCCTGACGGGTCATATCCTCTGTAATCTGGCAGGAAAGCTAAAATGTGCGTGCTCCCATTCCTCGTTGTGTTTGTGTATTTGCTCCCTTGTTGGGAAGAGCCTGCATCACAG